TCTTGCACGTTCCCCATGTCGAGCACAACAAAGTCCACGGGGACTATCAACTTCCCCACTCGGACAAGCACATCCTCCACAATCCCTGCTGGTTGGCGAAAAGAGCGATCAACCAGCTGTATGCGCATCCAGGTGGGCTTCAAGTCTCTAAGCCCGAGCCTCTAATAAACCGTTAGTGGCATGAGATTGATGCCCGCTCCTAAGTCAAGCATGCCCGAGGTCTCTTCCCCATTCCCGAAGGCCATAGTAATTACGAAGCCTCCAGGATCTTTTTCCTTCTTCGGCAAGACACTCGTCGCTTCGCACATAATCACCTCCTCACCACTCTCAAGTCGCTTCTTATTCGTGGCCACTTCTTTGAAGAATCGTGCGTAAGCCGGTATTTTCTTCAACACATCAGGAGAAGATAAGTCGACATTGGCTTTAGCCAACATCGCATGAAGGTCCCGGATCATGGTGCAGTCCTTCTCCTCTAACAGTCGGCTCGGGAAGGGAATTTTCGGTCTGTAGGGATTAAGAGATTTGTGTAAAGTAGGCTTGGGAGATGGTGTCACTGGGGTTTCCTCTTCTCTCTTGGTTTTCTTTGGGCTCTCGATGTCGGGAATGACCACTGTCACTGCATTTGCTTGCTTTGGCTGGCTCGACAATTTTCCTTTGTTCATATCGGCCTCGATGCTCCCAACTCGTGTGGCTAGCTGGCCCACTTGTGTCTCAAGACGCTTAATGAAAGCGTCATGATTTGTGACAAAATTGAGGATTTTGTCCAGCTTGTCGTCTGTGCTCGATGGGGTTGATTCGGATTCTGGTGCTGATAACCTTAACATACTTCTAGGCTGCTGCTGCTACTGCTGCTGAGGTGGCTGCTGGTAGTGGTTATTTGCCCATGAGAAGTGAGGGTGGTTTCGCCACCCAGGGTTGTACGTGTTAGAGTAGGGGTCATTTCTGGGCCGACTCTGATATCCCTGCATTGCATACACCTCGGTAGTCTGGCCTCCATAGCCCGGCTCAGCAGTCGACAGGCACACTTCTGAACTGTGTCCTTGTACCCTGCAAGCACCACAAACATTCACTGCCATTGTCCGAATTGGTGAGGAACTTCTAGCATTCAGTAGCCGCATCTACTCTGTGAGTTCGGCTAACTGCTGAGCCATTACATTGTTGCTCGATCCAACCTCATTCACTGTGGCCCTTCTTCCTCTGACACTTTTCTGAGACGAGTTAGCACTCATCGTCTCATAGATCTCTATCATCTCTTCAGCCGTCTTTGCCCCGATATCCCCTCCGGCCGCATTGTCCACCATGTACTGCAGGTTCTGGTGGAGGGAGTCGTAGAAACAATTTGCCAATAGTCCCGGAGTGAGGTTGTGGTGGGGGCACTGCCTCTGAAGGTCCTTAAAGCGTTCCCAAGCCTCGTGAAGAGGCTCGTGCGGCAGTTGGGCAAAGGAAACTATTTGAGACCGGATGTCTTGGGTCTTCTGGTGGGAATAGTACTTCCCGACGAATTTGGAATATATTTCTGCCCAAGTTGCGAGTGAATCTGGAACGAGGGTCATGAGCCACACCTTGGCTCGGTCCTTTAAAGTCTCTGGGAAACAACGCATTTTGAGTTCGTCCTCGCTCAGCCCATGTAAAGGGAATGTCTGGAGGACGTTGTAAAACTCCCGGATGAAGTGGAGCGGGTCCTCGTTGGCGAGGCCGTGGAACATTGGAAGCTGATTGTAGTGAACCACCTTCAATTCATAGTTGCGGGCAGCTTGTGGTAACCGAATGCACGAGGTGGTTGGCCCGATCATAGGTTGGGCCAGATCTCTGAGGACATTACGAGGAAGTTGTTGTTCACCCATGTCGAAGTTGCTGCCTTTTGATGATTTCGGGGAGTGCTCATCTCCTTCGTTAGATTCGAGAGTAAGCTCTTCCAGCAGCTCCCTTAGGCTCTCGTTGATCGATTTGTTGATCGGAGATGGCAATTTGCGTCCACTCTTGGTACGCATACACTAAACCAACAAGGGTTACGAGCACCAATGATAGATAAAAGAGAATAAAATGAAAATAATAGAAAACAAGGAACTAACACCTAACAATTAAAAAGAACTCAAGAGAAACACAAAAAATAAATTGAATAAGCGCACAAAATACGTCCTAAACCTTCCCCGGCAACGACGCCAAATTTGTTGTAAATATTTTTACCGAGTACCGAATCAAAAGATTCGTTCCCCGGGTCGTATCACAAGGAAGGTCAGCCGGAATATTAAGCACGTTTATTCACACACGAATGAAAGAGAAAATAAAAGAAATAAAAATCCTAAACATTCTAATTCAAAGTTTGGATTGTTTTAAGGGTAAATAATTTTTTCCAACCTGTACTATACGTGCTTTTGGAATTTTCAACCTAAAGTATTTTTTTTGGTAAAATGCAACCTGAACTACATATATATAATTATTTGCACGCTCGACTACTTTTTGACCGTTCGATCAACAGCTAAAAAGGACACGTGTATGGTCAAGATGTGGTCGAGCGTGCAAATAGTGATTGTATATTTGGTTCAGGTTGCATTTTACAACAAATAATACTTTAGGTTGAAAATCCTAAAGGCACGTATAGTACAGGTTGGAAAATATTATTTACCCTTGTTTTAATTATCAACTACTGCAAATAAATAAAATAATCAAGTAAACAGCAAATGATCACGTAGAACAAATAAGGATGAAGAACCTAGGGAGTCAGGGATTCCCGCTTTGGTTCGATATGCAACTAACAGGCAAGCGATTGTTCAGCTAAGAAATTCGAATAATCTACCTGATCAAGCATTCATTCTCAATAACTATTCGTAACAAGAGAATAAACTAGAACGAAAAATTAACGAGTCAAATAACTCATAGGCAATACAGTTACGAACAAGCCTAGTTCATGCGAATCTATTTCGACCGACTCTTCCCCTTTCGGTTCTAAGAGACGATTAAATAATCCTAGAAGATGGTAAATCAACTAGTCGATATAGAGTTAACAATATCACGCAAGAACGAATCAAATTCAATCAACAAGCAATTGTAAATCGAAGTGTCACTTCTTCGATAAGTCTCAACATTCAAGCATAAATCGAAAACCCTAATTAAGCATGACTTGCATAAATTGAACAATTTTGATCCCGACAATCACAAGCAGATTCAAAGCATCGATCCCCTAATCCCTAGCATAAAGATTTACCTACTCATGCTCGAATTATCAACAAGAAGGATCATCTCAATCAAAGAATTCATATTTAACGAAAAAGATAAAAGAAATTCTTACGATTGAAAATTCTCAAGGTTTAATTCGATAAACACGATTAAACCCAAAAGCAACAATAAAATCTGAGTGCAAATTATTGTTCCCAATGAAAAAACGATGAAGGAAGGGTGAAAACTTCCACTGCAGGAGAATCCTGGTTGATATCGTACTTCAAATGCAAATTATTCTTTCCATGTTCAACGAAAACTTGCACTGCAGGAGAATCCTGGTTGATATCGTACTGCTTGCCCGCCATGTAAAAACATCGCCACACGAAAAATATTCTTTCGAGGTCCGTTGATCCTTGTGATCTTCCGGTCATCAATTCACGATCACAACACGAAAAATATAATTTACAAAATTACATTATTCGATCCTAGATCCAACGAATGGATGTACATGTTTTTCTAAACAAATAATTAAATCTATCCGGTCAACCCCCGGGCGAATATTTATTACAAACATTTCATCCATAAAATTGCTCGACATTTCTGAGGCTTTTAAAAACAAATTTAAAACCATACATCGCGTTCAACGACATTTATCAAACACATAGTCGACCATAATAGTAGATTAAACTAATTCCTGCAAAACAAAGTTATGCGAATATAATCTAATATATGGTTGCGTTTGAACACATCTTGTCAAATAAAGCCGTAAAAATTTGAACTTTGTACAAAACGAATTAACCAAGTGTTCTGACACCACTTGTTGGGATCTATGAGGGTCTCGTTATGTACAAATTATGAATTCAATACCAAACATAAACCTATGCGCAGTGGATCTAAAGTTTTGACGTAGAAAATATACGGCTTAAAACTTATGGCAATCTAGATGATCTTTCGGATGGCCGTACACAACACACGAACACGGCGGGATCACGAACGGATGAACCGGGTTCACGATCGGGTCACGTGGGTCGCGTGTCGGGCTCACCGGGAGATGTCCGCGGAGACGCGTAGGGCACGGCTGGTCGCGGCACTGGGGCGCGTCGCGGTGGCTTCACGTCCAGCAGTTGGGGTCATGGCAGTCGTCGGCTTTGGACGACAATCGTCGCGACTTCTGGCTCTGGTTGATCTCCGAGATTGATTAAATTTATGTATCTTAATAAACCACGGGATCTTTTACTGTATGTCTCAAACACCCTTCTTCAACTTGCACCAGTGGAGCAACAAAAAGAAGATAAGGCTCAAATGAGAACTTAGAGAGAGAGAGAGAGAGATGGCGCGACTAGGGGCGTGATTTTTGTGATCAATCTATTCTCTTCTCGTGAGCTTAATGATGTATATATAGAGCTACAGTAGGGACCCTTAGGAGATTAGAAATAGGACTTTTTAACTAATTAAAATACTTGTGGGTCAACCCACTTATTCTAATTAATTAAAAAATATTGATGGACCACCAACATAATATTATTGCACTCCCTTTCGCTAGCCCAATTTACAATTGAGACTCATATAATAATTATTCGATTTATCTCCTCATGTTTAAGATATAACGTTCATTAATTAATTCTATTACTGACAATCAAGAATTAATTAATTTATTATTATTTTAAGCCAATGCTAGTTCATCACATTATTACTATGCGACATTTAATCAACATGTCGGGTTAAGCATAATAATCCTTCAGGAACTCACTCCGAGGACATCATCAAACTAAACGTACATGGTGACCGTAAATATCCTAATAGCACATCATACATACAGTAATGTTACCCAAGACAATGGGTCTATTGGTCCAGTTCACTAAACCTTACCCATGTGAATCAAAGCAATAAATTTTACATGTATATGTCTATTTAATATCTTATGGATCAAGAGTACGCAGTAATTAACCGAGGCCTAGTTTGTTTTCGACGATCAGTATAAAACAAACTGCTCCTCTCTGGGATCCTTTTGAATACCTAAATGTACTTGTGCAACTAATCAGCTAAGGCAAACTGTACCGTTGACACTATAACCGTTCTGATGGGGTATTCATGTCCATCTAGGTTGTGAACCATTAATTCTTGTTTCCTGAGTAACTGATAGGGTGATTTTCTGTAATAGCCTATTTTGTTATTAATGTAAATTACGTGTTTAGTTCCAAAATATTTATTTTTATACCGATCATTATCATGCGGGACTAATTATTCAAAGTTAAAATTATTCGAATTAATTTTCGAAGTCATGTTCCTACTGAAATTAAGTAATTTCGGTCAAGTTGAACTAGCCAACTTCATGTTTATGCTCGGAAAAATCTCTAAGTATTTAAGCTCATGTGTTATAAATTAATCCATAATTCAATCGCTCGCCAAGTTCATTATCGAGTTAATTGCCTAATTGTGCGCACCAATCGTGTTTAACTTAAGGCCAATCATGCTTAGTTATGCTAAGCTATTCCAATTGACGATCATGTCTAAACACTTAGGTTATGTGCACCATTACTAGCTAGTTAGTCGATCATGTTGGCTTAGCACCAATCGCCCATTAGCTTAGTACAAATCACGCTTAAGACATGCTTAACGCCAATTGCCGAGAGCTTATGGGCAAGTTGCATGTGCTTTCATCATTTCACTTAGCACATATGGCATTAACTTAGCAACTAAAGTGATGACTAAGCTAGTTCTAAGAGCTCCACCTAGACAATGACCAAGCCAACAGAAGGACACCAAGGCCCAACCGCACGAAAATTGGTGAGTGCTCATCGGCCGTGATTTTTCCATCTTATTTTCACCTAAATTTAACCTCCCATTATTTATAGGGGTTTTTACCGTGAGAGTGTGTTAGAGGTATGTTGTAAAAGCGATGTTTTGCAGTTTCTATCAATTCCATTTTGATCTGGCAATCATGTTTCGGTCAAAGTACATATGTTTGCAGTTTATTTATTTATGCAATACATACTCCATGTCTTCTATTGAGATAGTGTGGTTCGAAGAGTTTCAAACAGAAAGTTCACCTATCGGTTCCTTATAAGACTAAACTATTCGTTCACAATCTAGACTGGCAGTGAGACCCCACTTGGAAAAAGACTGTAGTGTATTCCCGATTTAGTTGGTCTTTGACTGAAAGATTACACTGGCACTTATGTTAAGTGTTGAACAGGACCGCGGAAGGCAAAGGTTATGAGACTCACTGACCGTTGTTGTAACCTCGCCCTTCAGTGATTGATGCGTTCTCTTAAGCTGTAATATAATATAAAATAGGCATATGCTTTTATCTCTTATTTATTTGATTTACCAACTGATTCCTATTCTGTTAGGATGACATACGAGGTATTTTGGTAAGTAAGAATAATTA